AAGAGAAGATGATTATTGAATAGGTAATTATCAGTGCCTGCTAATAGTAGGAATTGAATCTTGCTTATTTTTGTATCTTCTCTAAATTCTTGTAGAGTTCCTGGCATATAATAATCTCTCAATGAATTTTCTGGAGCAATGGAATAATTGGAATATAAGCTATGGAAAATAGAAATCCAGTGTTATTTGAACTTTGAATTTAATAAGGAAACAAGTCTTCCTTAAGAGGGTTCAAGGGCTAATTATTATAAATCCAGGAGAGTTAGCAGGTGTTTGGAAGTGAATTTCAATGTGCCAGTGTCTGTGTTCAGCTTTAGCATTTCTGAGTCTTTAAATCTGCTGCACGCTCCAGACGGAAGGCTAAGAGTTAAACTTATGGCAGTAAATCCTGTTCAGCAGTGGAAGGTTTAAGGGAAATATTTGAAGTTTTCATGTTCATCGTATCTTCAGTCTTTAGAAGAAAAAGTGACACAATAAAATGTCAATAAAAATCTCAGATTCTGAATCCTCTTCTCTCTGTCTTTTAGCACATTCACTTCTCATTGTATCCTTTTCCACTTCACTTAGCCTGTACGTTGTGGCATTTCTATCATAGTTGGAGGCACTTTCAAACGCTGATATTTTAGGTAAAATATCTAGAAACAGAAGCAAAGGGTTTTGTTGTGTTTCCTCAAAATACAGAACTATTATTAGAATATAATTCACAGTAGGAGAAAAATTGGTTTTGCTTTAGTTTGCTTCCAGATCGAAGTGGGAAAGAGTGAAAATAACATTATGAAGAATTTTATCTCTTTTGATGAAAAAGGTAATCTGTCACTATGGATGGTGAAGACAATGTATGAGATACAAGTCCTTTTCAAATAGTTCTCCAAAGTTGCCTATGAATATCTGTGTTTCTGAACTCAAAGACATGATACAGCATGGATTTTCAAAGCATCATATTTTGAAGAGTATAACATTTTTTTCCATAGTTTGAATTCAAGTAAAGGAACAATGACTTCAACCTTTTGTGTATAAGAACAAAGAATATTTTTAAAAAACCATTTCAAATGTCCTATAATTGCTTGATAGTGCAATAGATTTTTTTTTTTGTCAACTGGTTTCTCAGTATTTTAGGGATCTTAAATGGAAAAAGACCTTGAGTGTCTGTAAGTGAATGCCTGACTGATGCCTCTTGTGTAAGCATGTGGTAGTTTTCCCTCTGTGAAAAATCCACGGAATAACCAGATATGTAATAAGTAGTGGCTTGTTTGGGGACTTTGAGGTACTTCCTATGCTCTCCTTGCCCTGATATGGCATCTGGGCGAATTCTCCGTGCCAGGGTGCCAGGGACCGTGAAAATCACAGAGAAACTTTCCTCCCTTCCTTTCCTGGCGGCATGAGGCCTGGCAGTTATCTGTCACAGCACCCCGGGGCACTTTGCTCCCTTCCTATCCTTACTGCTCCTCCACCCGTTCCCCCCACTCACCATCCAGCTACTTGCGTTTCCTCTGGAGGCTGCGCTTTGTAAAGCCTCTATGCCTTTGTATGGGTTGCCCCTCTGCGGGTTACCTTTTCTTCAGTGCCACTCCCCACTTTTTCACACGCCGTGTTAACTCGTGCTTACCCTTCACCTATCTGCTCAAGCCTCGGTCCTCCTAATCCGCTTCTCCCCTCTGCTCTCACAGAACCTTGGAACTGCCTCAGTTATAGGGATATTCACATTACCTTTGTCCCCATTACACTTCGTAGCCCTTTGAGGGGGTGGGTATTATCCTACACATTTGTGTCTTCAGTACTTAGTAGGTGCTCAATAACTTTTTGTTAAATGAATGGAGACATGAAGCTATGATACAGAACAAAGAGCATCTTTTACAATTACTGAAGATAAAATATTGGAGATAAATAATACTATTTGTTTTTGTTGATCACCACAGAATTATTTGCTCCCTTTGCAGACTATAGAAAAGTGGTGTTTCATCTCATTTGACTGAAACAACTGTATAGGGACATCTGAATTTCTGGGCTGGGGCAGACTGGCAGTGTTTCGGGTGAGTAAACCCCCCAGTTGATCCCACAGTGACCCTCACTCGGGTTGATATGGTGCCAGTGCTTTGTGGTGGATTGAAAGGCTTCAGCTTCCAATGACACTCTTGTGCATGATTCTATCCAGTCTTCTCCCTTCTTAGGTAAACCACTGATACATTTATGCTCACTGTTAAAATTGTACGTTTTCTTTTCCTATGATTAGCTCTGAGCTACTAGTGCTATCCCCTGTTACTAATATGAACGGATTTGGTAGTAAATCTTTATTCATCTTATCCAACATTTCTTAATTTTATATGTTAAAATATTCCTACTTCTGGCCTAGATTTTTTCACACTGAGGAGAGCTAGTGTTTATAGTCCTTTCGGGCAAATAAACTGGTGCCTGTGCTCATCCTTCTTATTTGAATTGACTCTAGGTCTAGAATGAAGTTTTTTTTTCATGTACAGTGACCCTGAATTTATGAATTAGGAGAGAATTCCTTTTAAGTTGTTCTCAATTATTGGTTATAATCCCTGTGTTTTTCAATTACATATTATATTTTCAGTGTTTTGTAAAGTGGAATGTGATATAGAAATATTTTGTTCCATTTTTGTTACCTTTCCAAATATAGGCAGTTAGTAATTATTATAATTTTCTACTATTTATTAGTGAAAACATATTTTAGTTGGGGTAATGTACATTTTTAAAAACAAAATTAATAAAAAAAACTTGTGCCCTGACTGGGTAGCACAGGTTAGAACGTCGTCCTGATACCCCATGGGCGCGGGTCCCATCACCAGTCGGAACCCATAAAGAACCAGCCAGTGACTGTGTAGATAAATGGAACAACAAAGTGATGTTTCTCTCTCTCTCTCTCAAAAACATTTAATCAATAAAATAATTAACTATATATTAATAATTAATATAATTATTAATATATAATTATATATTTAATATATAAGTAGATATATAATTATATAAAATATAATTATAAATATAATAAGCAGACTCTGCTTATATATATATAATTATATTTTCTACCCAAGAATTATGTCAGTAATTTTCAGATTATGTGCCAGGGAAATCCAGGTTTAGAACCAACTGCCATGTGCTTTCTTGTGCACAGTGTTCTGGGTGACTCTTCATGTAGTTTGTTATTTTATGCCTGCAATCTTAGTAAACTTTCTAAGGTGCCAGTGTTATACTCAGGGGAAAGCTTATTCATTAAAAGGTAAGACACCATCATCTTTTAAACTAACCTACTTTTTAAAAAGAAGCATTTATTGCATTTGTGGGGTTTGAAAATACAGTGTAGGTAAGTTATTCAGAGTGCAATACATAGCAGTTTTTGTTTTAAAGTATTTCTATCATTTTTGCGTCAAAATTAATTTAACTGATTATGTTTGGAGACATCAAGTATCCTTATCAAAATGGCAGGTTATTCAATAATTCAATGGAAATACATGCAAAAAGATGTAACAAGGATAGACTTAGGCACTGTTATTTTCTGAACACACGTGTAAACCAGACGGAGACTGCGGATGGTGTCTCTGTGATCCCGAGGAGGGGTGCGCCGCTCCTTCCCTCCGCTGTGCTTGGGGGCGGTTGTGACATGTGTTTTCTCTAGAGCTTTTCATGATTCCTTTTGTTCTATTCTGTCTTCTCATGTGACTCTATGTATGAGTCTACTTGAGTACAGATATTTTATTATAGTTATTTGCTTCTCAGACTGCATTTGGGTATTCTTTATGGGTTTCTATTATGTGTAAATGCACACAGTTTCTTCTAAGAAAACAATTCTTAATCCTTCGGGAAGTCTGTGCTAGTTGCTCCAGTTACCTGGTTGATTGTAGCTGCTGGTTTATCTGCTGCCTGGGAATCACAACAAAAGCCTTGATTAACTTTCTAAAAAGCATGGGTATGGACTAGGATCCCTAAGCTCTCTTGTATCTCCACAATGCTGTCATTTATACCATTCCCATCCATCACTAGAAATGTACTGTGAAATCGTTAATGAATGTTTGCTTAGAGAATTTTTAATGAGAAGTAGATACATGTGGTTAGTCTTAATTAATAGATGGCTTAGTAACCTTTTTTTTAATACTAACAGTACATTGGAAAATTGCAATTTCAAGAATAAATTGCAATCTGGTGAAATATTTTGATTGCTTAATAAAATTTAGCTTTTAAAAACAAGCATTATTATGGTCACTGTAGAAACCAAGAATCTATGCATGTAAATAGTTACAACAAAAGGAAAACAGCTTTGGATAAATGAATATTTTAGCAATGTTAATTCTTCCTATCCAACAGCATGGTGTATACTTCCATTTATTAGTATCTTATTCAATTTCTATACAGGTCTTTTACCTCTTTGTTTAAATTTATCCCTAGGTATTTTATTTTATTTTGTGATGCATTTATAAATGGGATTGTTTTCTTAGTTTCCCTCTCTGATAGCTCTTCATTGGTCTGTAAAAATGCAACCAATTTCTGAATATGAATTTTGTATCCTGCTACTTTACTGAATTCATTATTGGTTTAAATATTTTTTTTGGTGGAATCTTTAGGGTTCTCTATGTACAGTATCGCTTTTAATAAATGCTGCCTTATTAATAAGACCAGTAATTTCTTCTTCTTTTTAAAAAAATTTATTTATTTATTTTTAGACAGAGGGGAAGAGAGGGAGAAAGAGAGGCAAGAGGAACACAATGTGTGTTTGCCTCTCACATGGCCCCCGTTGGGGACCTGGCCTGCTACTCAGGCATGTGCCCAGACTGAGAATCAAAGCAGCAACCCTTGGTTCGTGGCCCATGCTCAATCCACTGAGCTACACCAGCCAGGCTCTTCTTTATTTCTTCATTCTTTGAAGTTATGGACCTGAATTTGATGGTGGAAGGTGGGGTGGGCAGTCCTGTTTTAAAAACAGTCTTTGGGTTATGGGCAGATAATTGTGAGAATCTTTTCCTAAAACATGTTTCTTATTTACATAGATTATTTTAGGAAGAAAGCAACCTGGAAAAAATGAAATTTCTTCTCTTCACATTTGTTGGCATTCACCTTTTATTTTTGAGCTCTGGCAAAGCTATATACAGGAATGACACCTCTCATAGGACTTTTGAAGAAATAAAAGAAGAAATAGCCCACTATGGAGATGTTGCTAAAGCAATCATAGACCTTGCTGTTTATGGTAAAGCCCAGAACAGGTCCTATGAGCGATTGGCAGTTCTGGTTGATACTGTTGGACCCAGATTAAGTGGCTCCAAGAATCTAGAAAAAGCCATTCAAATCATGTACCAAAACCTAAAGGAAGACGGGCTGGAGAATGTCCACCTGGAGCCTGTCAAAATACCCCACTGGGAAAGGGGAGAAGAGTCTGCTGTGATGCTGGAGCCCAGGATGCACAAGATGGCTATTTTGGGCCTTGGAAGCAGCATCGGGACTCCCCCAGAAGGTATCACTTGTTTTTTTCAAGCCTGTTTGCTGTGTATTTTATAAAACTAATGTCATCTGACCTAATTTATTACGGTGCACAGGATTTGTGTTATAACTTGGGTGATAAGAAAGAAAATGTAACCATTTCCTATTCCATCGGATTAACAAGTTCTCTACTATTACATTCTTGTTTCTTCCCTGTTCCTTCTCTCCCTTTCTTCCTTCTGTTACTTTTTAAAAGAAATTTGATTGTGTAGGGTCACTTTTTAAATGAAGAAAATATAGGTATTTGTATGCGATATGTCAGTCTTATAACTTGATAATTTTTATCTAGTATAACATTAATATTATTCTGCAGAAAACTGAGGTATGTTAATAGGATAGAAAAACTATGACTTCTTCCAGGTGGCTTCAGTGTGCAGAATTTCTTAGATTTAGTGAGATAGGGAGCAGAACTTTGCACACTGAATTGATTCCTCTAATAGGAGGAATTATCCAGGGTAGAGTTCTACCTTTTCTTATTACCACATGGGCTCAGCTTCACTGGACAAAATAAATGCCTGGATTAGAGGTATAGTTAGCACCAGTCAGCAGTGAGCTATCAGTTGGTCTTGACTGTATTCATGGACTTTTATCCATGGCAGAGGAGCTAGTGTATAGAAACTAGTTGACCTTCTCCAAAAAGTTTTTAGAAACATTTAACCTTGTCTAATGCCAGCAGAAAGACCCAAAAGAGAATTAGGTGGTCAGGCTCCCCTCCACCCCCTCACTGTCTGGGGAAGCTCATTTATTTTTAGCATAACTTTTTCAGATTACATAAATACAAGCTAGACCAGTGCCCCTGCCCTGAATACATACAACCGGGGGCAATTTTGAGCCACAGGGGACATTGTACATCGTCTGGAGACCTTTCTGATGGTCAGTGCTTGCGTGAGGGAGTACTACTGGCATCTAGTGGGTAGAGGCCAGGGATGCTGAACAACCTACAATTCACGGGAAAGTCTCCCACAATGAGGAGTTTTCTGGCTCAAAATGTCAATGGGGATGAGTTGAGATATTCTGCACTAAATAAAGCATTTGGAATGTCAGAAGCATATAATGGAAAGGGCAGTAAACAGAAAACACTCAGCAACTGTGAGATAGCGAAGACTCTAAGGATGTGAGAGAGTGAAAACTGTTGGTGGCAAATATGGAAAGGTTAAGGATGCAATTAAACATTTGTGTCATCACAATCTGATGCCAGTTTCTCAGATGCCAGCTCATGTCACGAAATACTGCATTTGCTCGTCATAGTTGCCGAATCCCCTTCCTCAGCTCCCACTCTTTCTCCAAAGTGTGTGTTGTCCCCTCTTTCTCAGTTAGATCGTCAGGTTATATTTAATCATCTTTTTTTTGAGGTATGATTCATATACCATAATATTCACCAATTTAAAATAGACAGTTCAGTGCTTTTTAGCATATTGACAGGATGTTGCAACCACCACAACCATGTAATTATAGACCATTTTTATCAGCCCCAAAAGAAACTGATTAGCAGTTACTCTCCATCCCTCCCCAAAACCCTCCTAAGCCTCAGGCTCTCTGTCTTTGTGGATTTGCCTGTTCTGAATACGTTGTATGAATGGAATAATTCACTAAAAGACCACTATGTGGTCTTTTGTAGATGGATTCTTTCACGAAGCATAAGGTTTTCTTTCATCCTTGTTATAGAATGAATCAGTACTCAATTCATTTTTATTGCTGAATAATATTCCACTTTATGATTATATACCACTTTTACCCTTTCATCAGTTGTTAAACATTTGTGGGGTTTTTTATTTTGTTTTTTTACCTTTTGGCTATTATGAATAATGCTGCTATAAACATTTACATGTAAGTTTTATTATAGATATAGGCTTCATTTCTCTTGGGTATACAAGGTCTGTACAGAAAGTATCCAGACATGTAATATGAAAAATAAAGACATTTGTTGAAGAAGATATAAGAAACATTGTACACAGGACAATGATGTCTTAGTCCCCTTCAAAGTAGGCACTTTGGGTCCTCACACTCAATTGCCATCACTTGCCCTGTATTTTCCTGAATCTCATTGATGGTCTGAAATCTCCTCCCTTTCTAAGGTGATTTTAGTTTTGGGAAAAGCCAGAAGTCACAGGGTACCAAATCTGGGCTGTAGGGGAGCTGAGTCACCTGGGTGATTAGATGTTTCACAAAAAATTCTGCATGAAACACAATGCATGAGTGGGTGCATTGTTGTGATGAAGCTGCCAATCACCAGTTGCCCATAGCTGTGGCCTTCTGAATCATCCAAATGGCTTCTGCGGTGAAATATTCAAGCTTAATACAAAATTTGATGTAGATTCATTGCTCTACTCAGTAATTTTGAATGTGACAGCCACACAGTACACATTCACTCAATAGCATCTACCACCTGCACTGACTAGTGAAGTGAAGTCATCATTTTTCATACATGTTTGTTCCAGTCCACTCTCCTTAGCCACCAGGTTACATCGATGTCACACAAACCATTCTCATTATATTAACAATGGCTGGATTTTTTCCAGAGAGACCATGTATATCAAGGAGTAGAATTGCTGGGCCACATGGTAACTCTACATTTAACTTTTTGAAGAACTGCCAAACTTTTCAAAAGTGGCTGCACAATTTCACATTTCCACTAATATAATAAAATTTTATAGATACTTTCCAAAACTAGTTATCATCTACATATTTTTTAAAGATTTTATTTATTTATTTTTAAAAACAGGGAAGGGAAGGAAAAAGAGAGGGAGAGAAACATCAATGTCTGGTTGCCTCTCATGTGTCCCCTACTGGGGACCTGGCCTGCAACTCAGGCATGTACCCTGACTGGGAATCAAACCAGTGATCCTTTGATTTGCAGCCTGCACTCAATCCACTGAGCTACACCAGCCAGGGCTATCATCTATATTTTCAGTCATAGCTATCCTAGTGGGTTATGAAGTGATATTGCATTTTTGGTATACATTTTCTTGATGACTAATGATGTTGAGCATCCTTCCATATTTTTATTGGCCTTTTGTATATCTTTGGAGAAATGTCTATTGAAATCCTTTGCCAAATTTTTATTGTCATGGGTTATTTGAATTTTTAGAATTATAAAAGCTCTTCATGTATTTGGATACATGTCCCTGATTAGAATATGATTTACTAATCTTCTATTATATGGTTAGTCTTTTCATTTTCTCAGTGGTAGTTCTTTATTCAATACAATTTATCTAAGTTGTTTTTCATTGCTTGTACTTCTGGTCTTATGTAAGAAACCATTACCTAACCCAAGGTCACAAAGATTTATTTTTATATTTTATTCTCAGAGTTTTAAAGTTATAGCACTTATTAGGTCTGTGAGCTGACATTTGTATATTGCATGAGGTAGGAATCCAACTTCAGTTTTTTGCATATAATTATTCAGTTGTCTCAATTATCTGTTGAAAAGACTATTCTTCCCCATTGAATCTAGTGTATTACATTAACCAATTTTCAGATGTTAAACCCACCTTGCATTTCTAGGATAAGTCCTACTTGGTTATGGTATATACTCTTTTTAGCAAATTCAACTTGCTAGTATTTTGTTGAATAGTTTTACATCTATATTCATAAGGGATATTGGTGTGTAGTTTTATTTTTTGTGTGAGATTTCTGTCTGGTTTGGTATCAGGATAATTCTGATCTCAAAGAATCAGTAAGAAAGTATTACCTTCTCTTATTTTTTGAATAGTTTGTGAAAGATTGACATTAATTCTTTAAGTTTGTGGTAGAGTTCACTAGTGAAGCCATCTGGGCCTGGGTTGTTTTTTGTTTGTTTGTTTGTGGAAAGATTAATTACTAATTCAATACCTTTTCATATTGTAGGTCTATTCAAATTTTCTATTTTTTCTTGAGTCAGTTTTAGTAGTTTGTGTCTTTCTAGAAATTTATTCATTTTAGCCAAGTTATATATTTTGTTGGCATACAGCTATTTATATTATTTTCTTCTTATTATTTTTTATTAGGATATGGATCCCAATTACTGTTTGGTGTCACTTGCTTTCAGCCTGAAGAACTCCATTTATTTATTTATTTATTTTTTCAGAACAGATCTGCTAGCAGAAAATTCTCATGGCTTCTATCTTTACTTCTTTATGTAATTTTTATTTTTGAAGCAGTTTCACTGGCATGTGATTTTTGGTTGCCATTTTTTTTTTACTTTCAAAAATTTCAACCTGTCATCTCATTGTCCTGTGGCTTCCATTGTTTCTGATGAGAAGTCAGCTGTAACTGTTATTGGGGTTCCCTTCTATTTGATGAGTCATTTTCTCTTACTGATTTCAAGATTTTCTTTTTATGCTTGGTGTTCAGCATTTTGATTCTGACGTATATAGGTGTGAACCTCTTTGCTTTTATTTTACTTTTAGGTTGTTTAGCTTTATGGATGTGTAGGTTAATGTTTTTCATTAATTTGGGAACTTTTCAGCTATTATTTCTAGAAACATATCTATGTCTTTTTTGTTGTTGTTCTCTTCTTCTTCTTCTTTTTGTTGTACTTCCATTGTGAGTATGTTGGTGCACTTAATGGTGTCTTCCATTTCTCTGAGGTTCTGCTCATTTTTCTCCTTTTTTCTCTTTCTATGTTCTTCTGAATGTATAACCTGTAATAATCTATCATCAAGTTTATTGAATATTTTTTACACTAGCTAAAATATACTATTGAGCCCCTCTACTGAGTTTTTCTCTTCAGTTATTATACTTTTCAGCTTCAGAATTTCCATTTTTTAAATAATTTCTATCTCTTTATTGATATTGTCTATTTGATGGGACATTGTGATCATACCTGTTTTAATTCTTTAAGAATGTTTTATTTGAGTTTCCTGAACATAATATAATAACTGTTTGAAGTCTTTATCTGATAGGTTTGATAGCTGGACCCTCTCAAATGCAGTTTCTATTGCCTGCTTTTTCCTGGAATGAGTTACATTTTCTTTTTTCTTTTCATGTTTAAGT